TGGTTTATATACACAATGGAATACTATGTGGCAATGAGAAAAAATGAAATATGGCCTTTTGTAGCAACGTGGATGGAACTGGAGAGTGTGATGCTAAGTGAAATAAGCCATACAGAGAAAGACAGATACCATATGGTTTCACTCTTATGTGGATCCTGAGAAACTTAACAGGAACCCATGGGGGAGGGGAAGGAAAAAAAAAAAAAAAGAGGTTAGAGTGGGAGAGAGCCAAAGCATAAGAGACTGTTGAGAACTGAGAGCAAACTGAGGGTTGATGGGGGGTGGGAGGGAGGAGAGGGTGGGTGATGGGTATTGAGGAGGGCACCTTTTGGGATGAGCACTGGGTGTTGTATGGAAACCAATTTGACAATAAATTTCATATATAAATAAAAGAAAACTAAATTGTGTTATCTGCGATTGGATAATTAATTGGTGATTTTAAAAATACCAGCTTCTTTAAGAAAATATATCTGTATTTCAGTAGGAGATTTCAAAGGTTTGAAGCCAAGGTGTACATAAAGGTAGGAATTTCTTGTGCTTGAGCCAAACTGAGAAGAGTATAGAAGGGAAAGGGAAGAGAACAAGTTGAGATTTTTACCAAGTTCTTCTGCTAGCCCTCAAATCATAGCATTTGGGTCTATTCAACCAGCATTCAGGGTCTGTTTTACCCAACCCCACTTAACCAGTGAGGCAGGCCCACTCCTTTAAAACCATTGTATGTGTTAGCAAATGCTATGCACCATAAATTGTTAGAATAATGGAGCTTAACATTTGGCCCTCCTTGGATTGCAGATCCTCAAATGTTTAACTTACAAAAAATGAATGGAATGTAAATATTTTGATTTCACTGAAAATATGTTTGTGCAACCTTGTCAAAGAAAACATTCACAGTGAAAACATTCTGTTTTGTGCCTTTAGGTAAGAGTAATGTGAATTTACAAAGCCTCTGAACTCTCTACCTCCGATCTGATTATTTAAGGGCTAATAAATAATTACAAAGTGAGAGCCGAGATTGCAAAGCAGTTGAGGCTTCAGAATCCACCAGCTATTATTCACAGGTAGGCTTCTTCCCATTTAGCCTTTCAGAATGGGCTGCTTGCTCTAAATTTTGTTAATGACTGTGGAAACTAGAGCCCACACATACATTAGGGAAGAGACTTCGCTATCTCTCTTCATGTACATTCCACAATGGAGACAAACAAGATGTGGTGCTAATTCTATTTGGAATGTGTTCATCAGTGTTCAGCCACCCGTGGAAATATGTCCTGTTGAAAGAAATGTCATTTGAACCAATAATTGACCATTTCAAATATCAGCATGAAAACTGCATATGACACAGTTCAAGCTGGTGACCCTATAAATATCCATCAAGAGGTGGACCATTAATGAATTGTACCTACATTAACTGCCACAGTCCTAATTGGATTGTTTGTTTTTATAACAGATAGCTTCTGTCACCAATGGGGAATTAGCTGACTGTAATATTGGCCTTCCTGCAATGCAATGAAAAGAAAAATAACCATGGGCTATTATTAACTATGGGCTTATTACACGCAAAACACAGTATTAAGTATTTCATATCTTGTAACTCATTTATCAAATATTTATGAAATAAGTGCCCAGCATTTTTCGATGCTCTAAAATAAGGTCATGAACACAATCCTTATCCTTAACGGGTGGAATTTATAGCTACAAATAAAAACAAAGAAATAATTCTTAGCTCGTTTGGTGTTCACAACAAAAAATGCCCATTATCCTAATGTTCACTGAAGAAAGTAATGCTTAGAGAAATTAAATACCTTTTTCAAGGTCAGTGTTGTTAAATGGTCAGGATTTGAACCTAGAATCTTCAGACTCTAATGATTCTGCTCTTAACTACATCATTAAATTGTTACCCTTTCTTTACATATTTGTATTATTGACTGGATACCTTATTACTCTGATCCCGTTACAAATTTTCTAACCCCCTTTCCTTTGTTTTCTTAGCACATTCATTTAACCAGCCAACATCAAATATGTGTTGGATACTATTCTACATGCTGGGGATACTAGATCCATTAAAACTATAGTCTATGGTAGACATTGAGCTAGGATTTCTCCTACTTCCTCTGTTGATCTGCCTCTATCTCCAGGACTTGTTTTGCTCCTCCTCTTACATTAAGTGGAATAAAATCTTTCTGTGTCTAAATAATATCCATTTTAGCTTGTATCAACATGCCACAATTAACAGATGCTTGTGAATGAACGCTAATGCCATTTAGCAGATGCTTCTAAAAAAGAGTGCTCCCTTGGGGCGCCTGGGTGGCTCAGTCAGTTAAGCAACCCACTTCGGCTCAGGTCATGATCTCTCGAGTTCGTGGTTTTGAGCCCTGTGTCAGGCTCTGTGCTGACAGCTCAGAGCCTGAAGCCTGCTTTGGATTCTGTGTCTCCCTCTCTCTCTGCCCCTCCCCCACCCACACTCTGTCTTTCTCTCTCCCTCAAAACTAAATAGACATTAAAAAAAAAAAAAAAAGAGTGCTCCAAATTTGGTTTTCACCATTGGACAACAGTTCTTAACATGAGAATCTCTCTCTGTTTTTAATATAATTTATTGATAAATTGGTTTCCATACAACAGCGAGTGCTTATCCCAACAAGTGTCCTCCTCAATGCCTACATGAGAATCTCTTTTAATCAATACCTGCTTTGAGTCCAGAGTCACTTCAAGTGCCAAGGGAGAGGACAAATACTTTAAGATTCTTGGAGATCATCTATTTTGTCAGTTCCTGCCTTTTTAGTGTTGACTCAGAGGCAGTTACTTGTTGAGTGAGCTCTCATAGAATTAAAGAGTTAGGTTTCTTAGAGATCATCCATCCTAGAGGTTTCAAAATTCGGCTGTGCATTAGGATCACTTATGAAGCTTATTAAAAAACACTCCCTTGGTTAAAGACCAATGGAACAGAATAGAGAGCCAAGAAGTCCCACACATGTGTGGTCTCTTGATTTCCAAAGTAATTGGATAGGGAAAAGGTAGTCTTTGCAACAAATGTTGCTAGAACAACTGAATATCCACTTGAAACAGAAAATAAACTCCACCTTTACCTCACACCATATGCAAAAAATTAATTCTCAATAGATTATGAAACTAAAAGGTGGAAGCTAAAACTAAAAGTTTTAGAAAATAACACAAGAGAAAATCTTTACAAATTTGAGGTTTAAAAAGATTTCACAGGTAGAGCACAACAAACACAAACCATATAAAAAGAAAGTAATAAACTGGACTTCATCGAAATTGAAAACATTTATTCTTTGAAAGATATTATGTTAGTTTGCTATGACTGCCATAACAAAATACCACAGACCGGGTGGCTTAAAAAACAGAAGTTTATGGGGCGCTTGGGTGGCGCAGTCGGTTGAGCGTCCGACTTCAGCCAGGTCACGATCTCGCGGTCCGTGAGTTCGAGCCCCGCGTCAGGCTCTGGGCTGATGGCTCAGAGCCTGGAGCCTGTTTCCGATTCTGTGTCTCCCTCTCTCTCTGCCCCTCCCCCGTTCATGCTCTGTCTCTCTCTGTCCCAAAAATAAATAAACATTGAAAAAAAAATTAAAAAAAAAATAGAGAAACACTATTAAGAAACACTATTAAGCCTATAAACACTATTAAGAAAATTTTAAAGGGAAGACAGTGACAGGGATAAAAATTTCTAATACTTACATCTGACAAAGGATTTGTACCCAGAATATACGAAGGACTTTTAAAACTTAACAAGAAGACAATTCAATAAATAATGGGCAAAAGATTGAAAGACACATCAGAAAAATGGATATGCAAATGGCTAACAGGCACACAAAAAGATGTTCAACATAATTAGTCATAAGAAAAACAAAAATTAAAAACACAATAAGATTCTACTACATACTTAATTAAATAGATAAAATTAGAAAGAATGACAAGGCCATGTATTGGCAAGAATGTAGAGCAACTGGAATTGCCACATATTATTGGCAGGAATTGTAACTGATACAACTACTTTGGGAAACAATCTTATAGTTTTTTAAAGCTATATAGATTTTACTATACAATGTAATAATTCTACTCCCAGGTTTTTCACCAAGTGAAATGAAAAGGTCCACACAAAGACATGCATAGAAACGTTAATGGCAATATTATTCATCACAGGCAAAAATTCAAAACAACACATATACCTATCAATGAATTAATGCATAAATAAATTGTGGAATATCTATGTAATAGAATATTACACAGCAAAAAAAAAAAAAGAACAAACTACTGATACACCTGGAAATATGAATGAACCTCAAAAACATTGTGCTGAAGGAAAGACACCAGACACATAAGAGTTCATACTATAGAGGCACTTGGGTAGCTCAGTCGGTTGAGCATCTGACTTCTGCTCAGGGCATGATCTCTCGTGGGTTCGAGCCCTGTGTCAGGCTCTGTGCTGACAGCTCAGAGCCTGGATCCTGCTTCAGATTCTGTGACTCCCTCTCTCTCTCTCTCTCTGCCCCTGCCCCACTTGCACTCTGTCTCTCCCTCTTTCTTTTGAAAAAATAAACATTAAAAAAAAAAAAATAGTTCATCCTATAGATGCCATATATCAAATCTAGACCAGGCAAACTCATTTGTAGTGACAAAAAGCAGATCACTGGAGGCCTGGAACTGGGAAGGGGACAACTGACCACAAAGAATCTAAGGGAAATTTTGGGAGTTATGTAAATGTTCTGTCTTGATTATGATAGGTATGTGCATGCATGTATCTTAAAACTTATCAACCTTTGCACTTTAATGGGTGCATTTTTTGTATGTTAATTAAAACTCAAAGATGTTTAGATACAATTCAAATGTATTAAATCAAAGTTTCTGGGGCATCTGGGTGGCTCAGTTGGTTAAGCGTTGGACATCAGCTCAGGTCATGATCTCAGGGTTGGTGAGATAGAGCGCTGACCGCACAGAGCCTGCTTGGGATTCTCCCTCCCTCCCTCTCTCTTTGTCTCTCCCTGACTCACACTTTCTCTCTCTCTCAAAATAATAAGAAAAAAATATTTTTTTTCTTAAAAAAAATCAAAATTTCTAAGTAGAGGGCCTAGGAATGAGGTTTTTTTTAGAAAATCTTATCCACAGTTAATTCTGCTTCAGCCAGGGGTGGGGATGGTGATACAGTCCAGCTCTGACTCTGTGCAGGCATCCCTCTATTGCACTGTCCTCAATGCAACTCATGGTCATGCAGCTTCTGCTTGATGCCACCCTGCCTCCACCTCCACCTCCCTTCTACCCTGCCCACAGCTCACTCTCTTGTATGAGAGCCAGTTCTATTTTAGAATAGCTCTTTTTCTCACTATGGCATGCATCTCTCTCGTTTTGATGGTTGAAGTGACAAAACCCTGTGGTCCTTTGCTTTCCTCTATTGCCTCTGCTCTTGCCATTCAGGATTGCCCTAGGAATATCTAAGAAACAAGGGGTCCAACCAAAGTGAACACATAATGTCTTTGATGTTTAAATTAATGTACTGATTTAGCATATACTATTGATTCACCATTTCTTGGTACTGGGCTAGATGCTAGGGTTAGAATAAAGAATATTTATAATGATGGTCCCCATTCAGGTCCTAGCTGGACACTAGACATCTATATTTGAATGTGTGGTGTTAGAGGAAAACAAGTAGACGAAGGTGTGTGGTAGGGTTCCCTTTCTGTCCATGCCCAAAATTAGGGATCCAAGCTCTTTTCATTGATGCCTCAAAAATCTTCACATGCTTTCATTGGCCTATTCCAAAGGCAACACCAACACATTCTGGAATGTAACCAATTATATAGTCTTATTAGTTCTAGTACCTATTTTTTCCCCTCTCTTCTACTATCTCCTGGATGTCCTCAATGGTCCTTGTGGGCCCTGACACGTAGCAGAGTCCAACTTATACCTGTTCCCTCCTCTTGAACCACAGTCTGCATCAGAGTCCTAGGCCCACCAGCTGGTAAGGCAAGACTAATCTAACAACTAGGTTGTGAAAGAGTCAAAGTGCTTTTTATGGAGGCAGGAAAAAGAGTTCCAAGAGCATAGCCAGAGTATTTTCATTTACAAAATATTTTTCACATATATTATCTCATTTGAACTGACCTACAACTGAAAATAATAACAGCCACCATTCATGAAGTTCCTACCATGTATAGATACTGTGCTAAGTGTCCTGTACTTTTTAAACCTCATTTGAGTCTTGAAACAATTGCAACAATGTACATACCACGTCACTCTCACTTTACAGATGTGGAAACAGAGGCTGAAATAAAGCAAGTAATCTTTCCAAGGTCACACAAATAGTAACTGACAAAATTCAGATTTGAATCCAGTTATGTGTGACTTCAAAGACCACACTCCTAACTACTATTGTCACTAATGATCTTAGCTTAATAATGCCCTGTTCTAAAAAAAAAAATGTTTTTACTTTTCTATCTGTATTGATCTTTAAATGTTTTTAGACGTACCTCTATCAAAATTAGTCTCCTGGTCCTGGCTTCTCTCTGCCCACTGCCCACTCTTCTCCTGGAAAGAGTGACTTTTCAGTTTGGAATTGCATTCTATGTGGCTTAGCCTCTTCTAGGATCTTCTTGGTATTGTCTGCCTAGACAAAACACATATAGTTGACCCTTGAACAACATGAGTTTGAACAGCAAAGTGCACTTACACACAAATTCTTTTCAATAAATACAGTACACTACTGTAAATGTATTTTATCTTCCTTATGATTTTCTTAACATTTTCTTTTACCTAGCTTATTTTATTGTAAGATATTAGAATATCTTACAATATCTTATGTTTATTGTACATATAACATACAAAATATGTGTTAGCTGTTTATGTTATTGGTAAAGCTTCCAGTCAACATTAGGCTATGTAAGTTTTTGAAGAGTCAAAAGTTACATGTGGATTTTCTACTGAGTGGAGGGTTGGGTCCCCTAACCCCCAAACTGATCAAAAGTCAACTGTATTTTGATCTGCACTCTGGGCCATGAATAGATGTATTGGGGTATGTCTTGCTCCTATGAACCAGGCCTATAGTCTTCCAGCTCTGTCCATGACTAAGTAGATAAAGTGACTTTTTAGTTGCAATATTAATGAGACCATTTTTGCCATATGCATAAACCATATGTTCCAATCCAGGATATCTGCACCTTATGTAATTTGAAAAAGGTCAGCATCCTCTATGAACATCAGCTACTACTTTAACTGGTAAATCTTGAAATCAAGGTAGAATCACAGAAAAGCAGTTAATTTCTTGCTCATGTAAACTCTTGTCTGTGCTTGGGAAGGTTTCCTTTAACTCAGTCATTCAGGAACCCCAGGCTGTGGAAGGCTCTGCTATCTTCAATACTTGGCTTCTAAGATCTACCTGGTCATCAGTGCCCAACTGGAAGACAGAGGAAGACAAAGAATAGCAGATCACAAGGAAGGCTTTTCTGGGACAGGCTTGACAACTGATATGCCTTGCTTCTTCCTACATTCTATTCATCACAAGTCAGGCACAACCTCATCTAACTGAGAAGGAGGATGGGAATAGCTGTATGCCCATATAGCTGTAGCTGTATGCCCATTGTGGAAGAAAAATAGATTTGATCAACAGCTCATTTTTTTCTGCCACATATTAAGAATTAACAAAGAAGTCCTAAAAATAAGTAAGAAAAAATTTTAAAACATCTAAACATGGGCCAAGGATAAAAATGGGCATTTCACACGAAACACAAATAATGGGCAACAGATGTATCCAGAGGGGTCAGTTTCATTAGTAATCAGAGAAATGAGAATAAAACCACCATAAGATATTGTTTTATAGCCAACGGATTGGCAAGACATTAAAACTCAGATAATGCCAAGTGCTTGCCCGGATGCTTAGTGCAACAGACACTATCAGTGGCTGTCCATCTCCTTTGGCTTCCTCCAGAATCTAGCTGTGGTAGAGTGAAAGCAGTCCTGTAAGTGCTGGCATGAGACCAAGTATGGGAGTGGCATAATTTTATGTTTTAGAAATACAGATCCTGAGTCAAATAGATTTAGGCTTGAATCCAGCTTAGCTCCTTGATAATTTCTTCTCATTGGATGAATTCTTAGCTTCTCTGAGCTTCACTTTCCTAATCTGTAAAATGCAATACACGAACAATAGCACAATATGGAGACTAACAAACTGATGAGCACAAGTACTTAGCACAGGCCTATATGTTGTACACTCAATAAATGACCATTGTTAAGGAACAGGCTGAGACAATGATGAGGGAGCATTGTCAGAGGGATGAAGAAAGGCCTCAACAATATACACTCAAAGAAACAGTGACTGCTCAAGGCCAAAGGGAATAAAATTGGCTCAACTTTCTGATAATTGGATTTTGGAGTTGCTGAGATTATCGATTTGTTTGAGGGAAATAATTCTTAAGACGCGAAGGTTTTATAAGCCTATAGTTTCTATGACCTCATAAGCAGTCATTGATAATCATTAAAAATTTAGTTTCTAGACTATGTTGTCCTTTGCATGTTAACAATACTACCTTGTGGGTGGTATTTAATTTTTTGTTTTCACTGTTTTTTATTTTTCATTTTCCATTTATTTTTCTCTTTCTACACTGGGTGATTGTTTTTTTCCTTAAAGTTCTCATAATCACTCAATCCTTCATATCACCTGCATCAACCATTTACTATCTACCTGGGTCACAGTAGCTCAGCACCAAAGCTAAATTATGCCCTTTTGTAATCAACTAAGTCAGCCAGTCATTTCAACTGTTCCACACGAAATCAAGTTCCATATACCACAAGTTTCCATTCCCTTCTTTAACTCAGTCAATAATGTGTATTACAAAATAGATGTGAAAATACTTCACTTAAACCCTCTCAAGGGTAAATGTTGAGAGTGTTTGTAGAATTACATATCAAGCCACATATACCTTGTGGATTCTACAGCCCCACAGAATAAATCTTCATGTATTTTAGAGTCATTGTTACCACCCACTCCTGTTTTTCTTCATGCTAAGAAAGCCTAAGTTTTTCATCCCTCTTCATAGGTCTGGTATCCATTGTTTAAAAAAAACAAAATTCAATCCAATAAATTTGAAGATCTAATTGGCTTTATTAAGCAATCATGATCAGGTAGCATCCCATTCAGCAAAAATAATGAATGAGCTTACAGAGGTGTTTTGAGGAGTTGTACAAAATGGAAAGTTTTTATAGGCAGGACAGCGGGGCAAGGAAGCTATTAATTAGCAAGAGAAAAGAAAAGGGTTGTTCAGGCCAGGACATCTCCTTTTGGAGGGGAAGGACATGACAGAGGTTTTTGTTTGTTGGTTGATTTGTTTGTTTATTTATCACACAGATGACCTCACTATCACAGATCAGGAAATTTCAGAGTGACTTTTAAAAGGCCACATTACTGGGGTAGGTTGAAATTGTAATTAAATCTTGGTTTGCTGTCTTGAGAGGCAAATGACTCCATCTTGAGCTGTTTTTTTTTTGTTTGTTTGTTTTCTTTCTTTCTTTCTTTCTTTCTTTCTTTCTTTCTTTCATTCTTTCATTCTTTCTTTCTTTTTTAACACCATCCTCCACTCCAAAGCTTTTTCAAGTTCTTACATCCCATAGCCATATACCCATGCCCAAACCTATACCTACTGTTCTTGGAGGTTCTTGTTTGGTACCTTTAGTCATGTGGATTCATCACAACTAACACTACTGTTACTGGAATTAACTTGTTCATACTGGCCACAGTGTTCTCATTCTACATATTGTACTCAGCAAATGCCAGACCTGAACTGGTGAAGAAAATGAATTAAATTCTGATTCTGTCCCCCACACATACCCATACATTTTATCCTCTGTCATTTGATGTCCATTTTCCAAAGTTCTGGTTATCTCTTCTGCTCCTATCTCCTTTGGATACCTACTTCCATCCCGGTTGAAGATGCTTCAAACTAAATTAGCATGTTTCTTCCTTTCTATAATTACATCTTGAGGGCCAACACAAAGGTGGACATGCCACAATTTCTGCCATATGAGAGTTTACCCTCTGGTAATGTAGACAAGATAACACACAATCAGGACCCTATGCCATAGCATTATATCGCAGAGTGTTGTGGAATAACAATAGGGGAGCAGGGAGGACTTCTCCATGATTATGATGCCCCAAATGTTTCTTGAGTGACAAATGAGCTTACAAAGAGAAGACAGGTCAGTGAGAAAAGCTATGACAGCCCTTCCCTCCTCTACAATGTACCAAGTATGCACTCTCTGGGTGTTACCCTAATTCAGTGCACACTCATACTCAGGGTTTTGTCAACTAGAAACTCAGTTTCTAGGGTGTTGACAAGCTACTAAAAACAGTGAAACACATGCTAAATGTTTTTTTTTAAGCTTTACAAAACATTCCAGATGAATTTCTGGTAATCCTGATAGTGATTGCCAATCAGTCCATGAATCATAAACTATTACTTGCTTCTCCTTGGCAGTGAGGATATTGCTGGGCCGGGGTTGAATCAATCTCCTCAGCCCATTTTTATAATGGTGGAGGTGAGGGACTTCTGGGGTTCATTAAAATCCCATGAGCATTATGTAAGCTGTTGAAGCTTGAGGATGTCCAAAAAAATAGGCCCCTGTGAGTTCAGATGTAATTGAAAGTTAGGAATAGGGGTACAGATGGTAACTAAAATGTTAGCTTCATTGCTATTTAATTTTGGATAGGAACACATGGCTTATGTGTGGCAAAAATGGTCTTATTAATACTGTACCTAAAAAGTCACCTTATGCAGCTAGTCACAGACAGAGATGGGAAATGACATGCCTAGTTCTCAGGGGCAGGATCTATCCCACTAAACCTGGCCCAGACAGCATACCAGAATGCATGCTCTTTCCAGGCAGACAGACACCAAGAAGATCCCAGTAGGGACTCAGCCACACACAAGCAATTCCAGACCAAAAAGTCACCCATCCTCCCAGGGTAAGAATGGGCAGGGAGCAGAGAGAAGCCAGGACCAGGAGGCTAACTCATAAAGTTTAGTTTGTTTCCACATATTTATTTCCTTGTGATAAACATACAGCTCTTAGATAAAGGCACTATGTCTTAACCACCGTTTTATCTCCAGTGCTCTGCTCTATGCGTGATATGTAGTAGACACAAAATACTTGATTGATCGATTAATTAATTTTATAACCTAAATTGTCTAATTCTAGAAATGGCAATATTCTACTACTTACCCAATTACTTTGCCTTGACTCTGCTCTTTTATTTTACTCCCCTTTTCCTCTCCTCTCTCTACCCAGGATTCTGAATCTATCCTTATTAGACCATTTCCCCGTTCACTCTCATATAATTTATAAACTTATTATATGCACTTTAACATTAGAACAACATGAGCCTTAGAAAGTAGTGTTAATGGAAGTCCAACAGGAAAAAATGAAATCAATTGTTGAGATGTCTTGTAGTTTGTATGTATCTCTTTGCTTCTCTCTAAAAAGAAAAGGGAGGGAGGGAGGAAAGGAGGAGAGGGAAGAGGGACGAAGAAAAGAAAAGGAGACAGAGGAGGAGAGGGAGAAAGAGGAGAGGAATGGAGGGAGAGAGAGAGAGTTATTATTTTTTTTTTAATTTTTTTTTTCAACGTTTATTTATTTTTGGGACAGAGAGAGACAGAGCATGAACGGGGGAGGGGCAGAGAGAGGGAGACACAGAATCGGAAATAGGCTCCAGGCTCTGAGCCATCAGCCCAGAGCCTGACGCGGGGCTCGAACTCACGGACCGCAAGATCGTGACCTGGTTGAAGTCGGACACTTAACCGACTGCGCCACCCAGGCGCCCCGAGAGAGAGAGTTATTAAAGTTGGCTCCTTGATGTGTGTGAGGGGATAGGTCCCTTGGAGAGATCAGAATACTATTGCACTAATAAGAGAAATAGCACAGAGTAGTGTTTACATGTGGGACCATACTGCCTGGGTTTAAATTCTGAGTCTGCCGCATACCAATTATGACCTCGACAATTTTCTTAAACTTTCTGTGCCTCAGTTTCCTAACCTTTAAAACAGAGGTGGGGGCGCCTGGGTGGCTCAGTCGGTTAAGTGTCCGACTTCAGCTCAGGTCACGATCTCACGGTCCGTGAGTTCGAGCCCCGCGTCAGGCTCTGGGCTGATGGCCCAGAGCCTGGAGCCTGCTTCCGGTTCTGTGTCTCCCTCTCTCTCTGCCCCTCCCCCGTTCATGCTCTGTCTCTCTCTGTCTCAAAAATAAATAAACGTTAAAAAAAAATTAAAAAACAAAAACAAAAACAGAGGTGATAAAATACTTCACAGGGTTGTAGTGAAGCGTAAATGTATGTAAAATGTTTACATCATAATAATACATAATAAGGACTATATAGGTGGTAGCTGTCACGATTACTCTGGGAGGTTCCTACTAAGTTTACAGAACAACTGAATGAAAAATCTGGATATGAAACTAGATGTAGCATGTACTAGAGATCATTTCAAAGAGGGACAAGATGTTCTAGGATGGTGAATACTTGACATCTAAGCTAACACTACCCTTGACCTGTGCTTATGACAGGAATTTCGTATCAACCATGAATTCATGTGCTCTGAGCCTGGACGTAGTTTCAGAATTTTTCTCCGAATATCATACCACACAGTCACTCCTAGTCAATTACAGCCAGAAAATAAGGTGAAGCCTATTTGCTAGCCCTATTAGAGGCCCAGTATAAAGTTAGTCACCAGGAAGGTGGCCATGATATAAGTTTGGGCTGTGTCTCTTGGAGGACCGGTACAGACAAAATCAGCCACCTGGTGGAGGGGCCTTTCTGTCTATAACCTAACCCCACTGAAGTTCCTTCTACTGATGAGAAGTCAAATCATATTTCAGAGCAAATAACAAAAGAAACTTCCGTAATGACAACATGACAGTGAGACCAAGACCCAAGTGCCTATTCACATGTATGTGAAAAGAAGAAACAGAGAAAGTGTCTCATAGGCTAAGTCACTTGCTTACTTTGTTCATTTTGATATGCTTGGGCCAGACCCTCAGTGTTTTCCTTTCAACAATTTTACTTCTCCTCACTAAGCTCATATTTGGTCCTCTCAGAAGTGTGTATTTGGAAAGAAACGGACCCAGAATGGTGACTGAGACTGGCATTAGTCAGAGAATGATACTGATGTTCATTGTAATTACTTGAGCAGACTAAGCTGGGAGCACTGGTAACTGAACCTCTTTTTTCAGGAATGAAGGAATCAAGATTCCTTTTTCCAAGTTGGACAGTTTTATGTATTAAAGTGTTTGTGTGCATATGTCTCCTACATCTAGACCATCATGACAGAAAAAAACACATACTGTAACTAAGCCCTAGACCCAAAGGCAAAAGTCCATCTGCCTGAAGACTTAATGAAACTCTTCTCCAAAACCTTCACTTAATTCCTATGTCTGGGGTAAATTTTGTATATGGAGGCATTGACACTGGAGGGGGAACCAGACCTTAGAATTCGACAGGGAATGAGCAGTATTTTTTCCTTACATGTTGAAATGGGCATATCAGTCTTGCTTACTTTCAGCCCTACATCTGCTATATCTCTTGCTAACTCATTTGAATCCATGCCCATCAGATACCACTATGGGATTCCCCAAAGTTGTTGGAGATGAGGATTCTGCCTTCCGTAGCATCAATTCTGGTAGCTTCCAATCCCCAGCTCACCTGGTAGATCAACATTTGCAAGTGGACACCTCTAGAGGGAGCTAACTTTACTGGCTTCATTTATAATATAATGGGCAAGGAATTGTAAAATATGGGATTTTTTCAGTGTCTCCAGAATTTGAAGACTTTCAGGGGACCCTATAATTATGCCAGAGGGCAGTCATGTGGTAAGGCATAGAATCCATGAAGGAGAAGGAGAAAGAGAAGGAGGAGGAAAAGGAGGAGGAGGAAGAGAAGGCTACTTGCAAAGAAGAGAGATTTATAAGTTCCTAAAAGGCATTTCAAAGGGATACTGTTTTCCTCCCCAAATTTCTGTGATTCTTACTTTAATATATCTGATTCCACCTCGATAAAACATTAGCAGTCAATGGTGGCAGAAAAGGGAGACTGTATGAAGAGCAACGAAGAGATGTAGTCTGACTGGAACTTCATACTTTACCAAATGTATAAGATATTTTCAACCTAACGTTCATGTTTCCGATGAGATGCAGGCACTTGGGCTTGTGGGCTCTAACCAATGTGAAGCTGGGAAACAGCTGTGTGGAATCGGCAACTCCTACATATGTTAAGACTTGGCTGATTCCCCACAACATCTCAAAGTTTCCGCATAATACTCAGCTAAACCGAACAGCAAATAATGAGCACTGATACAACCAGACAGAAAAAGTATAGCTTCAGGCTGCCAGCGGACAGACAACCTGCCATTCTCTGCAGGTAAATGGGGCTTCTGAATTAGAGTCTGGAAAAGAGAGAAATAGGAAGGGATTCTGCTAGGCCTGCTGCAGCCCTGAGCTCCCAGAGGCATCCAGTTGATACTATACAGCAATGCCAGGAAGAGTGGTTGGGGATGGCAGAGAGGATGCCCAGGACCCAGACCCCCAGTGAAAGGAACCGAGCTCTGTTATACAATTTCCAAGGCAACATAGACACTGGGTCTCAGTCATAATAGAAAATAACTTCCTTTGGTAGTCCCCAAACACTTCCACCTCCAACTACAAAGGGCTTATCAGGCTGAGTATGAGGGGCTCAGCCTATGCTAAAAAGGAGTCTCTTGTGTTCTAATTAGTGACCTGAACAGGCTTAAAGGATGAGTGGGATCAAGGAATTAAAAAAAAAAAAAAAAAAAAGAGTGGCTAAGAGACTGTATTTCACTTGCGGTCACCCTAAGGCCAGAGAACATATTAGAAAAAAAAAAAAAAAATTGGAACCAAAGTAGATCCAAAATGGTATGTCTCAGAGAAATATTATCCTTGTGAAAACTGCAGTGACCTCTAAAGAGAAAGTGAAAACTGTGTAAAGTAATAGAACGCTTAGCTGAGACCCTTATGGAGTCATACCTGGATCACAGCCACAGCCTCCCCACCTAGTGTTCTTGCATCTAGTCACTCTTTCCCAGTCCATCGTGCATAATGGCATGAGACATTCATCTTCCCAGAACTTTCCTTCCATCATGTTATCATCCCCTCCTCAGAAAAAGGTCAAGCATCTTAGCTGCAACTCCCAGAAAGTCAGCTTCATGTATCTAACTGTCCTCACTCGTAACCATAGAAGTCGGCATATTCACTTACTCTTGGACCAACAAGCCATGAGGAAGCCCAGCAAGAGAAGAAAGGACATGTGCTTCAGTGCCCAACAGACTCGCTTTTGATGTCAGTTCCTGTGCTTGACCAGTGGCAGAACTCATTCATGTTATTTGATTTTCTCAGCCCCATCTGTAACACAAGGATAATACCAAACCTCATAGCAGTTGTCATGACAAAATGGCAAACTGTGTCTAAAGTACTCAGTATTACAGAGCCTGCAACCCACTGCAAATTCATAGGTAATACTTTTTGCTTATTAATCATTTCCTGTTTTCCAAATTTTCTGTGATATTATCTTAATATTTAAAATATATAATAAAGAAAGAAGTATAGTATATCACCTTATCAAAACTAGGGAACAATGTCTTAGATATTGAGGGAGAACAGAACCTGGAGAAATTTTGAGGGAGGGTAGCAGCTATATTTGCTGCTTGGTCTGCTTCTGTTTGCAAATTCACAAGTTCCTCCTAAGTGTCATCTGCATTTTCCTTGACATCCTAAGCTGTTCTGTGACTTCAAATGACAACAGTAATTGTAGCTCTATAGAAGAGCTCAAATAGAAGACACAAGCATCAACAGACACAGAAACCCTCCCTACAGAAAGTTACAGCATTTAAATGTCACTGTGTTAGATCCATAGTCCTTGCTTATACAGTTCATGTTTTCTTCAACCTGTTCTACAATGAGAAAAGGCTGACAGTACACAGCTGGTTTTGTACCTTCTAAGTTGTTCATCAGAAGACATATTTTACATGACCACAGCTAAGAGCCGTTTTGTGAAGATGTGGTGAGCTGTGCACAAGGCTGTTTTGGGAACATACACATGCCAAGTGCGCTACTCTGTGTTCTTACATTCTTTTTCCCCTAGGAGCTGAACTCCCATTCGGCTGTTCTAGTTCCTCCAAGGAACTAAGGTAAGTTTCCATCTTCAAAAAAGTAATTAAAAAAGGAAATGAAGTTGAAAAGAAGACTATATGGTGGTCATCATCTTGCTGCCCAAATTCAAATATTCACTAACCTTCAGGGCATAAAAGACAGGGAAAAAATCTTCAAGGCATAATAAACACAGAAATGATAACATCTAAGGAACAGACAATGAAGAGAGCAAATTTAGGATCAGAACAAGAAATTATATTAAGAAAACAGAAGGTGGCTTATAAGTGGAAATGGTAGATTTGTTCTACTAAAAAAAAAAAACTAGTATATTTTCGAAGCAATAGGAGAACAAAAAAATTTTAAAAATAAGTTTTTGTTAATATACTTTTTCAGAAGCAGAGCACCAAATCCAAAAAGAACTCTACCCTTTTTTAATTTATTTTTTTTAATTGAAGTATAATTAACATACAATGTGATGTTAGTTTCAGGTGTACAACATTTGATTTGACAATTCTATATATTACTCAATGCTTACCATGATAAGTGTAGTTACCATCTGTCACCACACAGCCTTATTACAATATTTTTGACTATACTCCCTATGCCATACTTATCATCTATGTGATTTAGTCATTTTATTATGGGAATTTTGTACCTATTCCCTTTATTTCACCCATCCCCTCACCTACCTCCCTTCAGGCAACCACCAGTTTGTTCTCTGTATTTGTCTGCTTTTTTCATATTAGTTTGGAAGAACTCTACTTTTAATCTCTTATATGACACAGAAAAACGAACAGTTACCACAAAGGAATCAAGAATACAATAATTCACTAAAGTGAACATTTCAGGAGGGAAAAGAGGAAACTTGCACCATTAGGAAACCCAATGTCTGCTTACACGGCTGAAAAGGGGTATCCAAATGGCAAGGGGGAAATGAAAAACAGCCTCATTCGACTTTGTACTTACCTTTTTTTGTATGTCACAAACTGATCCAATCAGGAAAAAAAGACTATGGGTGTTTCTGAGTGCAGTTTCCACTGCATTATACACACAGGGTTGTTTTAAACCAACGCTGTGTGGAGCTATTGCCTTAACAGAGTTTGGTGGCCAAGGCCAGAAACCCTGGTGTGACAAAGACTGGGGAGGAAAAAAAGATTCAGAACATAGACAGAGAATTAAAGACAGACTCTGAGAGGTTCAAAATTTTAAAAAGAAATAGCTTCAGTAATCTGAATCATTAGTTTCCTGAAGCCTAAGAGAAGAGGCTTTTAGTAAGTTTCCAAATAAACTTTATAGACCCAAATTAAATAGGCTGTTATTGGAGCCTTGGGAAAGATTCAGAATATCCTAACCTCTCACCGTAGTTCTGCCAACACTTTTTATTTACCTCTTGGTGCTTCTTCAATGCCTCAGGTTTCTCATATCCCCATACTAAGCACTCCTGACCCTCTTCTCTCAGACAAGAAGTGCATCCATTCTTCTAAATACTCATTTTATGTTATGGTTGTTGCATATTGTTTCCTCTCCAATAAATTTTTGCTTTTTCCAAGTCACAAAGGCAGGCTCCTATGTTTGCTTCGAGAAGCTTTATAATTTTAGCTTTTACATTTCATGATCCATCTTGAATTAATTTGTGTGTAGAGTGAGAGGTAGGGGTTGATGTTACTTTTTTCCATGTGTTTAGCCCAGTTGTTCAAGCACCACTTGTTGAAAAGATTTTCCTCTCCCCATTGTATTGCCTTGGCACATTTGTTGAAAATCAGTTGACCGTATATGTGCGGTTTAATTTCTGGATTCTACTTTGTTCTGATGTATTTTTCAGTTTTTAAGCCAGCACCACCCTGCTTTGATTATCATAAAATTTATAGTAATCAACTTTCACATTTCATAGATATCATGATGCAGAAGCCTAGGACTTAAGTCCTAAGGCTGACTTTGGCATTATCTAGCTGTGAAATTTTGTACAAGTCATCTGATTTCTCCATGACTTAATTTATTCATCTATAAAATAAGAGGTCATAGATCAGAGCTGCAAATTAAAATACTTGGCAGATAATTTCAATTAATTAATCTGGAAGTTTCAACACAAATAAGGAGTGGTGGGCAATGTGCCAAAGTTCATGTCCAATCTAAAGAGGAAAGTTACCACACAATTCTAGGTTGCAGGAATGTAAGTTTGCTGTTGCCAAATCTTCTGATTTTTCCAGAGAAGTCAGAAACCTGTATTTTTATGTGAAATCTTCTGACTTTTAAAGCACCATGCAGGCCAAATAAAACACAGATGCTCAGCCCGTGAGCTGCCAGTTTGAGACCCATGAACCAACAAATCTCTCAGAATGTTAATTCTTCTTTTATAGAGTTATTGTGAAGAACAAATGAGGTAACATATGAAAATGCCTAGTACTATGCCCAGTACATAATAAGTATTTAGTAAAAATTCTGTATTTTCTTCCTGATTAAACATTCCATAAGTTGTACCCCAAATTTCTATCACTAAGCCTGTTCTTTTTTTTTTAAGTTTATTTATTTATTTTGAGAGACACAAAGACAGTGCAAGTTGGGGAGGGCAGAGAGAGGAAGACAGAGAATCCTAAGAAGGCTCTGCACTCTCAGTGTGGAGCCTGATGTGGGACTCAAACTCATGAAACCATGAGATCATGACCTAGGTTGAAACCAAGAGTCGGATGCTTAACCAACTGAGCCATCCAGGCACCCCACTAAGCCTGCTCTTCTTATTAGCTGAGAGGTATTTCCAACTATTAGCGCCTTCATCATTTAGTTCACAATCTATCCTACATTAGAAACTTCTGGTTCCCCCTCTGGAACCTTCCTCCATGTTTTACTGTGCCCACATAGGCTGACCTATGTGAACTTCATGAACAGGCATTTTATGGTCAGTGGCCAATGGAGACATCAACAAAAGATTCAAGGGTTGGAGGAGAGTGAGGTTGGAGTGCATAATCCCCCAGCGCCCTACCTGTTGAATCATCAGGGATGACTATGGCCTGAAGCCATAGTTCTCTTCAGCCTGCTCTCTCCATACTGCCCACCACTATTCTTGCAATCTACTATTTTCTCCTGCTGACCTTTCAAGACAAGAAGTGGTTAATAGATCTCATGTTCTTTAAACTCTGTCCACTCAAAGTCATTCAACTTGAGTGTACTATGTCATCTTATTCATAGATGTTGTCTAATATGCCAACCTCCCACTCCAAACAGAATTCCCTCCTTTGTCCCCTTTCTCAATCAACATTGCCACTATCTTGCCAATTAACCAGCCTTAAGATGATGCTCCTCTCATGGCACCCCTATACCTTATTTATCCCTATGGATGAGCCAGGAAAAAAGGCAAGAAATGACACTCAACAAAAACTAGTGGAATTGGTTACATTCAAGGATGAGTTGGCCACATTTTCTAGGACTGGAGTTTCTAATGAAATAACATTAACTGCTTTTGAGGCTGCAGTTTCTTTTCTTTATTTAACCAGGCCAAAAGGGTGAAGGCTCAGAGCTGTTCTGTGTAACCCTTTTTTCTCTCCTTTGTGAATATTTTTTCATTCATGCCTAGAGCCACCAGCACTTTTTCCCTGGCACTGGGTATGCTCTGAATTGGTCTTTCCATACCATCGGTATAAGACGTCCTATTCATGCTGAACTTAATACACATAGAAGCTGTTTGGTCTGCTTTGGATCTAAGCTATACATAGGCTGCTTCTGTGCCTTACAAAGTTTTCATGTGGTTCCTCCTAGCTTATTTTGCACTGGAATTCCAAGCTGAAGTCTCTGCTAATAGCAGTATTACTCTGCTTGTTCTTACTTGCTTTTCTCGTATCTTATTTAGTGGCCTCAGCAGCAGGAGACTTGGATGGACTAAGGCAGAATTTATGGGCTTCTTATTATACTAGCATAAAATTCCAACCCAACCTATAATCAATACAAAATACTTGACATCGATTTTTACTCATGCCGATTCTTCATCACCAGTGTTCACTCTATCACATGCCCTTTGTTTCAAAATGCCATTTGTATCTGCATTCCATTCTGCATTCTTGCCTCCATCCCATTTGTCTTCATCCCTAACCCATCATGTCAATCCAATTATAAGAACCTCTGCCCTTTCATGTCTATTTTGCCCACCTCTGCCAGATTGACCTTTCCTGTAGAATATTTCCACCATGACTCTTTATTACATATTACTTAAAATATAAATTCCATGGCACAGGCTTTAATGTTGCCCATAATATTCACAGCCA